CCTGTAATCACATGGTTGGTTCTCCTGCCAACTAGTCCTTAATCCCATCTTAGGTCTTTCTATAAGTCACTCCACTAACATAGCAAAAGGCAACCTTATGCCTCTCCTCATTCAGGGAATTCCAAAGATCTTGGGAGCTCTTTTTCAGGAAGTGGATCAAGACCAATAATATTACAACCTTTTTCTCCAGAAAAGAATAGATTGTCTGACACCTGGAGTGCAGCTTAGTGAGATCCTATCTCTCATCCTTTAACTATATCAAGATTCCTGAATCATGAACTCTGTGAGTTAATAAATACATGTTGATTTTAAGCCACTAAATTGTGATAATTTGTTTAATAGTGATACAATACTAACTCAGGCATTGAATTTTCACCTCTAAGAAATTGATTCCTCCAGTCTATGAAAGCTCCATTCTAAAAGCTTTTTCTTAAAAACCAGGAACGATGGGTAGAAAATTCCCTAAGTTTCAAAATGGTTAACCACTAAGACAATCAAAATCCCAACTACTCAGTCATAGCAACAAGGCAGGATTTTGTTAGTGGGCCTTCTGAATTTCATTTATTTACAGATCCAGACCCGTTTCACACATCAGGCAGTGAAACAGAGTTTTACGAGGATGTGAAGCAGAGAAGAGCATTCATACAGGATTTTACAAAACGGACCCCTAGATCTGCTACATTTGTACTGGTGGGCAATTTTTAAAAACATGAAGTCTCGGGCCTCTCCTGTGGCGCAGGGGGTTGAGCACAGCGCTGTGAAGCTGGTTGCAGCCTCTGCAGCGTGGGTTCAACCCTCGGCCAGCCAGGGAGACACCAACACAGTGCAGCAGACCTCTCCTGTCGCTCCTGCTACTCCCCTCAGCAGTGTTTTCGGTATTGTATTCTGCCTGTTCTTCTTCCCGCTCTGTCTCTGGTGAATCCTCTTTCCCTCCCGCACCTGTGGCCTGTACCCCAGCTCTTGTATGCACAAATAAATATTAAAAACAAAAACAAAAACATGAAGTTTCTGTCCTTTTAGATCTACTGGATGTGAAATTCTGGAGTTCAGAAATCTGCATATCTAGCAAATTCCCCAGGTAATTATTTCTGTATATAAAAGTTTAGAAACAATGAGTCAGCATCAACCCTGACTTGACTCTTAGGTATACCTGGGAGCCTTGGCGCTGGATATGGTGTACTGACACATCTGTTGGGTGTGATCCGGCACCTATAAATCATATGCATTGTAGTAAATGAATGTTACCTCAATAAAGATAGTATTTAAAAATAAAATTAAAATACCCCAGATCCCACTCAATGGAGACTCTCTTGTATTGGATGGGACCAGGAACAGGGAGATATAAAATATACCCATGTTCTTCCTTCAGGAACCATGGTTGAGAATGACTGCTTCAAAACAAGTGTTATAGCCTGTTAATCAGCTACATTAATACAATACATTAAGGCCTCTCCTGTTGGCGCAGGTGGTTGAGTGGAGCGCTGTGAAGCTCTCCGCAGCCTCTGCAGCGCGGGTTCGATCCCGGCTGGCCAGTGAGAATCCCATATGATGTGGCAGACCTCTCCTGTCTTGCCCGCTGCTCCCCTCAGCAGTGTATTTCACTCAGTCTGCCTGTTCTATTCCCCACTCTGTCTCTGGTGAATCCTCTCACCCTCCCGCGTGTCTGACCTGTATCACAGTTCTTGTATGTATGAATAAATAAATCTTTTTTAAAAATACATTATTGCAATAGCTATATTAATATCTGGTAGGTAGAATTCTTCACCTGAGTTTATGCTGAAGAACAAAGGGAAGTCTAAAACCTCAAGACACAGACTGATGTAGAGAAAAACAGAACATAGAATACAAGCTATAATTAGCAGTAGATTCCTTCCACTGCACCTTCTTCCTAACCTTCTATTCTCCTTCCCTGTATTCCCTTGTCAAATATCCCTTCTCTATCCCTTTATACACCATAAATACTTTAACTCTGTATCAACAGTATTTCTTCTCATGTTGTTCATGTTATTGTTGTCAATTTTATCTATGGTTATATAATCTGTTAAAGATTTACTTCATGTACTGTTTGTCCAAGGTGGTCTTGGGGGAGGGAGGGAGGGGATTGGCTGTAGTCATACTGTTAAGGCACAAGCAAAATGTCTAACCAGTAATCTGTCAGGAATGAACCAGAATGAGGAATAAGATGCATATCTATTGTGGGAAATCAGAGTGAAAGACC